TCCCTCCTTCTCCCCTTTCACTAGCCTCTTCCGGCACTCTCCGCGATGTGACATGTCCTGTCTCCTGACTCAGGACATGTCGCAGCGTGGAGAGTGCCGGAAGAGGGGAGTGAAAGGGGAGAAGGGCGGGGCAGTAAGATTGGTGGGAGGGTGGTGGCGGGCGTGTCGAGGAGAAGGCCGTTGAAGGTGTAGTCGGGATATAATTAATTCCTATAGGGGCAAATTCCCGGATCAATGCCATTCGGCTGCGGGAATCCGAGACAGTTGTCAGGTATGTCTAGCATTCCAGGGTCGTCGTCACAGTCTCTGCGAAATACTAGACAGTTGCCAGACCTAAGTAGACTTATACGAAAGTAGCATGAGAAGGATATAATGTTCCATGATGGCTGTGATTTGAAGTAAGGATAGCGAGGATGAAGTGAGAATGGGTATGCAATGCGAAGATGCTCCAGAGAGGCGGTAAGAAAACAAGAAGGATGGCAGAAGACCAAGCATCTCAAATAAGCTGATAAAATAGGACTGCATGACTGTTATTTTGCGTATTCGCAGTGTTCTGATGGTTAAGTTGGATAACGAGTGTGCTTAGTATCTGTTGGAAATAATGAATGAGATGTGACAGGGCAGTTGGATTGTGCATCAAGCTGCGACGGGCTAGTGTGAATATGGGATCTATTACAGTTATGCGGGATAGACGGTGCAAGAATGTGAGTGATTTGGAAAATTTCCGCGCCTGGCACACCGCAATGGATTCATTTGAATGCTTGCCACCTACTTTGGAATACGTCTCCCAGAGTGACAAGCATTCGGGGGTGTCGAGGAGAAGGGCGTTGTCGAATCGACAGCACCTTGAACGGCCGTCCGTATCTATTCTTTAGATATATTAGATCGACAGTGTCGATATAATATATCTAAAGAACGGCACGCCAGGCGGAGACATTATTGGCGAGGCCCATGGGGCACGTCGAAGGGCCGCGGGGCAGAGGGGACAGTGCCTCCGGGCCCGCGGCCAAGACTTGGTGACGTGTTGTGCCCGCCCTCATTGGCGGAGGCTTGGCTGACTCCGCTGTCAGCAATCCTCCCTTTTGTCCCACCACAACATAAGTTTACAGTGAAAGTGACAAGGTCGGAGGGTTCATTTTCGAAGATAACGCCACCATTAAAAGGTTGTCCGTAAAGTCACGAAAACGCGTGTTTTGGCAACGTGTTTGCTCATATGTTTTTAAAAAGGGAGATTAAAATACGCAACATTTTCAGACAAGGCGTTTGGCAAAAACTCACATCATACCGAAAACTGGCGAAAACTGGGGGGGCATCACAGTTTTCCACGAGTTTCACATCCGCCTGATCACAGAAAAAACAAAAGTCGGTCTTCCGTTCTTTTCATCACCACAAACGAGTTTCAGACTGCCACGCGTCGTATCGGTATGTGTTGTACAACACAGACGCCCCTAGCGCCTGTGTTGTACACATTTGTACCCTTCGAGTGGTACACATAAAAACGATTTATTAGCCTTGATCCCTCAAATAAAGAAGAAGAAGAAAAACGATTCGCGACGATGCAGATCCGTCGGGTGGTGCCACCGTTGTGCCACCGTTGTGCCAGCACAACGATGTACCAGACTTGCATTTGCTGCGGGCAGGCACGCTGCTGGAGGTCAGTCTGCAAAACCCGTGCCGCAATTTCTCAATCTCGCCTTTACTCTTCCAAAGTGTGCCCAAATGAAAAAAAAAAGGAAAAAAAACAACAACGCCTTCTTTACGGACAACCTTATTAAATCCAAACTTTCCTCATATCACGTAAATCGCTTGTCGTCTATATGTAGACACTACTACAGTATGTACAATGTACATAAAGGCTTCTCTGAATTCCAACTTGATCTTCTTCCGTACCCGGCCCCTAATTCCAACTCCCCCACATCTCCGCCACCATCCGCTCCCCGTCCGACTCGGGTGTGGCAACCTTCCGAGTCGGACGGGTCGTACCAGTGCCGCGCTCCCTCCCCTGCATCGTCCCCTCGATCCCGGCCGTCCCCCGCGCCCACCTCACCTCACCATGTCGCCGCCGCTGCGCCGCGCCTCATCCGCCCCGACCTTCCCGCCGTCCGCATCCCTCGCCCCGTTGCTCCCGCTGCGGCCGCCCCGCACGCCGCACGACCCCGCGAAAGCCGCCGCCTTCGCCTCGCGCCTCGTCTCGTGCGTCAACGACGCCGCCGTGTGCCTGCTCATCTCGCTGGGCCACCAGCTGGGCCTCTTCGCCGTCCTCGCCCGCCTCCCGCGCCCGCTCCCCGCCCCCGACATCGCACGCCTCCACGCCCTGCACCCGCGCTACGTCGCCGAGTGGCTGGCCGCCATGGCCTGCGTCGGCCTCGTCGAGGAGACCCCGTGCGCCCCGCACCCGCTCTTCTGGCTCCCGCCCGCGCACGCCGCCCTGCTCACCGCCCGTCCGCGCGTCTTCAACATGGCCATGCTGGCCCAGTACGTCCCCGCGCTCGCCCGTCTGGAGAACCGCGTGGCCGCCTGCTTCCGCACGGGCGCCGGCATCCGCCCGCCGGAATTCGCCCCCTTCGACGCCGTCGCCACGCTCGACCTCCTGCACACGGTCGCTGACGACCTTGACGCCACGCTCCAAGCATACGTCCCCACGCTTGCGAAAGGCGCCTCCGTCTTGTGCGCGGGGCGCACGGCAGACCACCTGTTTGCCCGCCTCGCCCAAGCCTTCCCGCGCAGCTGGTTTACTGTCTACGTCGCTACGCAGCACCACTTCGACACGGCGACGGCCCGCCTGGCACCCGTGCCCAACCTGCGTTTTATACTCACACAGGGACTGCATGCCGTGCGCGAGCAGCGCTCGTACGACGCAGCGCTCATCCTGGACGGCAGCGCTGTGCGCGAAGCGCGGTCGCCTGCGGAGGCGCTGCGCGCCGTTTACGCCGCGCTGCGCCCCGAGACGCCGCTGGTTTATGTTGAGACCGTCGCGGAGGGGTGCCCGAAAGATGACGTGGGCCACCCGGCGGGGGAGCTGATTTACACCATCTCGGCTATGAGGGCGCTGCCGGGTGTTGTCGAGAGGGGAGGGGAGACGGTGGGTGGGGTGTGGGGGAGTAGGAAGGCGGAGAAGGTGATGAAGGAGGTCGGGTTTGAGGCCGTTGACGCAGAAGTTGATGACGGAATTAATTGCATGTTGGTTGGGTGGACGGCGAAGGAGGGGGAGAGCGACTGCGGGTGAGTCTTGCAGTACTTGTTTGCCTCTTCCAATGTACCGCGGTGTAGTGTGATAGATGGTTTTTGGGGGCCGTGGGGAAGGGTTGCGTAGGATAGATAGGTGAGACGCGCAAAGACTTGTAAACAGATAGTTTGGGGCTGCCGTTGGAAGCGGGCGTCGCGCGCCGTCATGGGTCGGGCCAGGTGCTGGGTTAGGCTGCGGGCAAAATGCTGTCGTGATGAGTGGTTCGAGCTGTGGGCACCAAACCGTGTGTGTGTCTGGCGGAGATTGGCGGGCTGCGGTAGCATGCAAAGGCACCCGGCGGAGGTCGGAGGAGGGCGGAGGAGGGCGGAAGCGGCGAGGAGGGGGGGGTGGGGGGGTGTGGGTGGTGGCAAGGTGGGTGCAAGCCGGGAGGGAGGACTCTGTTTTCAGGCGATGCCGGAAATGGGGCGCAGCGGGCGAAAGATGCAGGCGAGATACACGGCTTTGGGGCAAAAACCGGGGCTGGGCGTCATCTCCCTCCACCGGGTAAAACGGGGACAAAAAAAGACATGGCATTCTTCCACGCACCTCCCGCCCCGCCCCACCCGCCCCCATGCGCCCCTGGAGTGCTCCCCCGTCGCCCTTCTCGCCGTCCTCCCCTTCCGCGCTGCCGATGTCATCGACGTCGGCGACGACGCCGCCCGCGTCGCCGCGGCCGCGCCGCACGCGCCCGCTCACCGAGCAGATCCAGGTCATCCGCGAGCTGTGGCTGCTGCGCGAGCAGGCGCGCGTGCAGGCCGCCGAGCGCCGCT